AGCGGCTGCCGGGGTTCTGAGAAGCAGAGCCTCTGGGAACGGGACTGAGAGCGGCCATAACTGCTCCCTCCGCCCGCCCTGTTGATCCCGCCCCGCCCAAGCCCTGCGCACAGCCATTTGCCGATCGCCTCAGGCAAAGGCTGGATTAGCGCCTCCCCAGAAGACAGACGTTTTCCACACAGCTGATTCCTACAGCCAGTCGGCCTGGTGGTCAAATCCCTCTAGTGTTAACTACAACAATTAAGGCTTGGCTAGAACAAGACTGCGCACAAAGACCACAAGGGGGTGCACCAAGAAAGCATAAAAGATGCGGAGACAAAAAAACATGACAGAAATGGAGGATATGGAGCTAAGAATCGCAATTTTGAGGGCTTGCTATAAACTTGAGCAGAGCCTCACGAAAACTAATGAGACCCTCGATGCTACGATAAAGAAATTAGAAAGTAAGCATACACGGACTGAAATAAAGAATATTATACCCAATAGCAGACCAGAGGAGCACAAGAATCAAACCAAAGATTCGACAAAAAACACCCAACTGGAAAAGCAAAATGAAAAAAGAATCCGAAAGTGTGAAGATAGTGTAAGGAGCCTCTGGGACAGCTTCAAGCGCACTAATATCAGAATAATAGGGGTGCCAGAAGATGAGAGACAGCAAGATATTGAAAACCTATTTGAAGAAATGATGGCAGAAAACTTCCCCCACCTGGTGAAAGAAATGGACTTACAGGTCCAAGAAGCGAAGAGAACCCCAAACAAAAGTAATCCAAAGAGGACCACACCAAGACACATCATCATTAAAATGCCAAGAGCAAAAGACAAAGAGAGAATCTTAAAAGCAGCAAGAGAAAGAGACTCAATTACCTACAAGGGAATACCCATACGACTGTCAGCTGATTTCTCAACAGAAACTTTGCAGGCCAGAAGGGAATGGCAAGAAATATTCAAAGTACTGAATACCAAGAACCTACAACCAAGATTACTTTATCCAGCAAAGCTATCATTCAGAATTGAAGGTCAGATAAAGAGCTTCACAGATAAGGAAAAGCTAAAGGACTTCATCACCACTAAACCAGTATTATACGAAATGCTGAAAGGTATCCTTTAAGAAGAGGAAGAAGAAAAAGGTAAAGATACAAATTGTGAACAACAAACATGCATCTATCAACAAGTGAATCTAAGAATCAAGTGAATAAAGAATCTGATGTACAGAATGAACTGGTGATTACAATGAATCAGGGACATAGAAGGGGAATGGACTGACTATTCTTGGGGGGGAAAGGGGAATGGGAGATGCGGGAAGAGAATGGACAAAAATCGTGCACCTATGGATGAGGACAGTGGGTGGGGAGTGACGGCAGAGGGTGGGGCGGGAACTGGGAGAAGGGGAGTTATGGGAAAAAAAGAGGAACAAATGTAATCAGAACAATAAAGATTTAATTTAAAAAAAAAGAGATAAAAAAAAAAGTTTTATTCTTTAAGACAAGCTGCATCTAAGATGAACAAGAATCATAAATTTAATTTGCCAATATATAGACATGCAGTGTGAAGTCAGATGGTACAGGGTTCAGTTTACTTCCTGATACAAACTTGATTTGAGAGCTGAATTACCAGTATCTTGGCTTCCTTACCATCAACATGGAGTAATAATAACCGATCTTTTAAACTCATCAATAATGAAATGACCCCTTATATACCATTCTAACTAGGACATTTGGGAGGCTTGAGGCAGACACAGGATACACTGGGGGAAAAGGTATTTGTTTTCAGGATAGACAGGAATTGGAAATGACAAGAAGCAGAACTTGAGACAGCCCAATTCATCTCCTGTTAAAGGCCATCTGGTCTTATTCTCTCTGCAAGTCGGCTCCACTCCTCTTTCTATGGTATCCTAGTGCGCTTCTCCCACATGTGGGCCCCAGTGGCAACTCTGGACTTGAATCTATCACGACCTTTTGGTTTACTTACTATATAGAAAGCCACCCAGCCTCCTGAGTGTTTTTCAAATATGTCAAACTCACTTCCACATCGGGGCCTTTGTACTTGCACTTCCTTCTTCCTGAAATGCTCTTCTCCTCACTCTTCACCTGTCTTACTCCTTCACTTCATTTAAACCTCCGTGCAAATCTCTCCCTTTTAAAGAGGCATTCCCTGAGCACTCTGACTAATATTATGCCATCTGGTATTCTTTTTTATCTACTTTTATTGTCTTAACAGTGACTATCACTATCTGACTTTGGTTCACCCCCTCACAAATTCGATATTGGCTGAATGATGTATTTTATGACTAAATGAAAGAATTAATGCCTGACTCATCCAGATTTATAACTAGATTTCTAAGAGAATCAAAATTATCCATTTCATACTTTTCAAAAGGAACCACTCCAATCAAATACTGGCCAGCCTATGAGTTGCCGTCTTATGTCATCTGTCCCACCCATTGGTCTATTCAGAGACAGAACTGAGATGGGGTCAGTTCACACGGTACAGAGTGCAGGCACTTACAGTGTCAGGCAGGCAGATTCCCTAAGTGGGGCTTAAGTGGTCCAACCCTGATGGCACCTTTAGTTTTGTGAAGCACCAGCTAATCGACACAGAGAGGCCATATACCTTTGACTAGAAATGTCAAGGTCAGGAACTAGATTGGCTCTTCTCAGTACTAGCTCTCTGGCCTCAGTCATAATTTACCTTAATTTAATTTTTTTACCTGCTCTGAAATTTTTATTGAATTTTATGAGCAATTAATAATATAGTTAATGTTTTTTAAATTCCCTTTGAGCCTGTTGCTACTTTATGAGAATATTTATGTAGTTTAACTCCTGAAACCCTCACAACTACCTTGTGAGGTAGGGACTATAACTACCTTCATTTTGAAGATAAGGAAATGTGGGAATAGAGAGAGAATAAGTTGCCTGAGATTGCTCAGTGAGTTAACAGAACCAAGATACAAACCCAGGAAGCCTGATCCGACCTCTTCATCTAACAAGGTTATTTCATACGTTCATCCCCCTGCGGGGCTTAGCAAAAAATCTTTATTTTCTTAGAAACCACATCCTGAGGGGGTAAACACATGCAAATGTGCTTTTAAAATGTCAACATATTTTGAGTTAGCTATTCTTAATAAACATCTAAAATATAACAAACATACCTTTGGGCCTGTGCAGTTTGACAGGCTTAAGATCTAGTATTCTCTATGATCTATGCATCTGTTTTTATGTATGTACACTAGAAACTTGAAATATTTTGCCCAAATTGACAGTTTTCAATGAAGACATTTGCCAATTTTTATAATAAGCAAATAGCCAGGCCCTAAAACATTGTGCTCTACTTTAAATAAGTTAAAGTTTATACTAATACTAAGGGCAACAGTTTTGATATTTTTTTTGTGTGTGTGTAAGCTATGCTTACAATAAGAATATAAACACATAGGTATAAAAGAGATGTTTGAAAAGAATTCACTGAAAACCCATTATTTAGCACTTTCCATGTGTGGCACTATGTTAAACACTGAGATGTACAATGATGTATATTACAATGCTCTAAATTTATGTCACAGGCTTTTTTTTGTGAACCTCAAGAATAAACTTGAAAAGTCAGTATGTGATTGCCTCAATCCTTTGTAATATCATGCAGAGTAGACAGAAACCAATAGTTCTATCCCTTGTACCTATGTAGCTTTCCACCACCAACTGGTATGTACTCATGAAGATTTTATCTTTAAAGAGACTTGAGTGTTATATGGAAGCAAGTGCAAATTTATTTATCCTTTATTTTTTTATTTATCCTTTATCCTGTATTTTTTTAAAGATTTTTTATTCATTTTTTTGAAAGAGAGCAAGAAAGAGAGAGAGAGAGAGAAACATTAATGTGAGAGTGAAAGATCGATTGGTTACCTCTTATACGCCTCCTCCCACTGGGGATCAAGCCTACAACCAGGGCATGTGCCCTGACCCAGAATCAAATCAACAAACTTTCCATGCACAGGACAATGACCAACCAACTGAGCCACACCAGCCAGAGCTATACTTGTATTTTATAGTAAGGGCTGTATAGGGATGAGGAAAAGGCCATATTTACAAATATCCATCTATGGGCTGCTATTCTTTTCTATCTTCAAGTAGCATATTAGTTCTAGTCTTGTTTTATTTTGCATTTGCACTTTTTAGAAAAGGCCATAATTTTCTTGTAGAGTCTTGATTTCCATCATTTTGGCAAAATTGTTCAAGGTCACCATGGTCCCTATTAATTAATCATGTGTGCTTCATGGATTTTCTCTGTCAGTAGTACATATCAGTATGATTAATGGTTCAGGGTTCATATTTAAGAATCTGATTGGATAACTGTCGTTTCATTTGTTGGAACTTATAATTCAAAAAACATTGATGAAGTCGTCCAAGAAAAGAGGGCAATGCAAGTCAGTTTTACTTATTACGAACAACGAAGTGTAGTCATTTTTTTTAATGCAAATAGGCTCCATACTGCAGTGTACTCCTGGGCCTCAGCTAAGAGATTAGGGAGGGACATTAACTCTTTAAAGTGACTATATGCAGCATTAAGTGGTAGCTCTGTACTGTGAAAGAGAGAGACTATCATACTGTGTTATCCTGGGAGAATGAGAGTTGATGAGTGCTTTAGTAGTAAAAAATTTTTTTAGTAGTAAAATTAGTAAAACATTATTTTTGTTTTGTCTCTAACATGGAGTAATAGTTAACTTACTTACTTTAAAAATATATTTATTTATTTATTATACAATCAATTATTTACTTATATAAAGAGATGTACTATTTTATAAGGGTCATGGGTGTTTATAATTAAAATTAAAATAAAGAAAATCAAATAAGTTTTAGAAAATCCCCTGAAATCTTACTGTTTTAGTAATCAATAAAAATAAAATAGAAGCTATAATAGTTGGATGTACAAAGACAAATACTTCACAAAAGGGGAAAAAAATCAATAAACATATACTTTTTTTAGTGTTCAAAGTATCAATAAGCATCTACTTTACTATTATTTAAAGAACCCATAGTATATACTTTAATGATGTTCTAGGAAAATCCAGTACAATCAATAAATGGAAAGGATTTTATTGTCAACATGACAGTAAAATTTAGTTGTCTCATTTTTCCAGCATTTGTGGTTTTTAGCCTGCAGGTAGCCTCTTTACTGGAGAAGATATGGGATAAGGCCAGCAATTTCATATATGGTTGTACGTGAAAGTCCAAGAATGTCTTGGGATTTTCTAGTTTTTACATATGAGACAACACTCTATTTATATTATGAGATGTATTTGTAATCTTAATACAGACATAAATGATCCACATTGTTTAAAATATAATTTTTGAATACATTCTTCTCATGATTGATATTTATGCCTCAACCACTATGAAACTCAGACTGTTATTAAAAAGAACCTTCCCATCTTTTCTTACACTGAATTGAGGCTCTTGCAGATCTTTTACAATTTCTGCTTTGAGATCAGGTGGGGCTGTGGTACTAAAGTTGCAGGTTTCTGTCAAAAAATCCCAAAGTAGGTCTCCATTTTCATTGCCATCAATAAAACAGTCAGATATATCCATGGTGGACAGAAGGTCGTAACACTCATACTTAATCTCCAACTTGTCTAGCATCTGAGTGACATCCGTGGATGTGATGTACTGGCAGAGGTCATCCCGGGGTAAGCGGGATCCATACTTTCTCCATAGCTTGTCCCAGGCACTGGTTCCTGTGAGAGAACAGAGTCATGCTTTCATTCACTCTTTCTTTCATTTATCTACCCTGCCAGGCAGTGCATTAGATACTTGGGATAGAATAGTCAATTAAAAAATATCCTTGCCTTTGTGTAGCTTTATTCAAGGAGTAAGGGGTTGAGGGTAGGGAGATAGTTAAATAAATAAATAAATCATATATCAGATGATACTAAGTGCAAATGATAACAAATCAGAGCAAAAAATAAGGAAGGTCAAAGAGTTGGATGGTTTGCTGTTTTATATAGGGTGATTGTAGACCAGCGGTTCTCAACCTGTGGGTTGCGACCTCTTTGGCGGTCGAACGACCCTTTCACAGGGGTCGCCTAAGACCATCCTGCATATCAGATATTTACATTACGATTCATAACAGTAGCAACATTACAGTTATGAAGTAGCAACGAAAATAATTTTATGGTTGGGTCACAACATGAGGAACTGTATTTAAAGGGCCAGAAGGTTGAGAACCACTGTATGTAGACAGTCTCTCTTATGATATGACATTTGAGCACAGACATGACAAACCATCTATAATAATAAAAGGATAATATGCTAATTAGACCAGACATCTTCCAGATATCATTCCGGACATCCTTCCTGATGAAGCCGGGGCCAGAGGGAAGTCAGCCCGGGGCCTGCAGGCAGCCTGAGGGAAGCCAGCCTGGATCCCAGGTGCCTGCCAGCTGCCAGAGGAGGGAAGATTACTCCAGGATGCAGAAAGAGCAATTGCAAAGGGCTGGAGGCAGGAACATTCTTGGCATGTTTAAGAACTAGTTAGGGGCCAGCGCCCGGCTGCTCGCCCCAGCGCTGCGGCTCCTTTGTGAGTCCGCGGGTCCCGCCCCGGCCCGGCCGGAAAAAAAAAAAGAACTAGTTAGGAAGCTGGTGAGATTGGAATTAAATGAATTCCACTTGTGGCTATGGAGCATTTTAATTGTGGCTTGTGTGACTGAGAAAATGTATTTTACGTTATAATTCATCTTAGGTTATTTAAATTTCAGTATCCAAATGGGGCTTCCATATTGGCATTAGAATGACTTAACCTGATATGCATTTTAATAAGATCACTCTGGCCACACAGATGAGAAGCAAGTATAGGGGCATAAGAACAGAAGCTGGGAGAACAGTAAGAAGGTGACTCCAATAACCTGGGTGACAGATGATGGGAACTTGGACCAGTGAGCTTGGAGGTGAAGAGAAGTGGTTGGATGTTTTAGGTTACACTCCTACATACATTGCCATTTGCCAACAATTTCGTTACTGGGTGTGAGTAAAAACAAAACAAAAAAGTCAGTAATAACCCCAATAATTTTGACCCAAGCACCTAAAAAGAGAGAATTGCCATTATTGGAAGTGGGAAGAATGAGGGAGGAGCAGTTTTAAATGTATCATCAGGCGTGATTTTAGAAATGTAAATTTGAGATACCTATTGGGCATCCAGGTGGTGACAGAAGCAAGACAGTTGTTTGTTTGTTTTGAGTTCAGAGGAGAGCATGTAAGAGTAAAAACTGGAATCAAAAGAAAGAGCACAATAAATGATTTACTCAAACTAAAGCCTCATGTCTATCCATTTACTACATTCTGCTTTGGACTGCCAATAGCTAGGTTGATTTCTATAGGTTTGTCCCCAACTTTAAAGGATGTTTTAGCAATATCTGTTGCATTTACTTTTGAAAACCCAGCCCAATGTAGAAGCCAAGAGAAGCCTAGGGGAGAGAGACATAGGCTGTTGGACTATTCTTCTGACATTTCATAATTGAGATGAGGTTTGTTATTTAGTCTCCCAGAATCTGTTTTATAAAATGGGAACAACCATACTTACCTCAAATTCACCGGAAAGTATTAAATGAGATACTTTAAGTGAATCATTGCATGATGCTAAGCACACAGCAGGTGTATAATAAGTACTTACAAAATAAATGAACATTACATTATGAAATTAGTTTGATAATTTCTACTGGTTATAATCTTAAGACTGTGAAAAAGCAAACTTGCTGTTCAGAAATCGATGATTACAATAAATCAAAACAAATGAAAATCGATCTGTGGACCTTCTAATACATGCCTGTAATAATGGCTGTTACATACACAGATGGTACAGTGAATTAAAGATGGACACTAATGCCCAACTGCTTGAGTACGAAGCCTGGCTTTTCCTCTTTCTAAACTTTTTGAACCTGTGCCTCAGTTTTACCAACTGTAACTCAGGAATAATAATAGAATCTACCCATAGAATTTCTGCAGGGATTAACTGAGTTTAAAAGGTAAGGCACTTAGAACCATGACTGGCACATAGTAAACATTGTTGAAGGGTTACATAATTAAGCTGGACTTGGCCACAGCAATATAACAGAGAACTATATTTTCTATGAACTTCCAGGATTAAAAGTGAAGATTTCAAAGGCTTGAATTTATTTTGGTTCCCAAACCTCTTTTATGATCTAATGAAAGTAACCGACTCTCTGGAAAAGTACACAAACAAGACACACCCGCACAGTTGTGCATATAATCACAGGATGCTCAAACACTCCTGCCCTTCATCCTCAGACTAAGCTGAAGTCCCCAGATTTAACTAAACAGAAGAGACTATTCAAGGCAGGAAACAGTAAATAACAAATAGCCTAGATAACTGATGTTCTACTTATATTTCAGAAGAGGAAGTGATAACCGCAGGATATGCTCTAGGAATTGGAATGAAGCAGAAAACAATAAAACCTCAGTCCAATGGGAAAAAAATGAGGGTCATGAGTATATATTAAAAGATCTTTCATTCCAATACAGAGATTATCTTCCCAAAAAAGAATTTGCCTTACAAATAAGACTTTATAAGAACATAAATATTTCAGCAGTTGAGGAGAGGCTCTGTTATCATAATTTTTTCAACCTGGCAGAGAAAAAAGAACAAAACACTAATTGCAGAAAATGTGCTGGTGTCAGTGTTCTGTGACTCGGTGCCTTTTCTGAGCTGAGCAATTATACACTTTCTGACGGATGCATTATCATAATGGCTCTCGGTGGGCACAGCATATGGCGCTACTTTTGTTTTCAACATGGAATAAACCAGATTGTTTTTTCCCGCTGTATTAAAAATCACACACAGGATTTACCTCCTTCCTTATTCAGGTAAGGAGAGGGAAGGACACACAAAACTTGAGTGCCCTCCTTCTGGCTAAGCCCCCTTAACCCGATACATTGCATATTAATTAACAACTCATTCAACTAATACCTGGCTACTACATTTGCAGAAAAACATGTTGCTGACATCATTTTACTGTGTGATACACCTCTTTTGTTCTTAGTTTTCTTCTTTTTGTTTTCAAATCGAATCTTTTATCTTCATAATCAGGAACTTCTGCTCGTTATAGTTAAACGAAATGGGCTAGCTCTGTAATGGGTCCTTAGCAACACAGAGGCAAGCCTCTCTCTCCCCTCAAGCAACACGTACTCTAATGGGCTGACCAGCACATGCTGGCATTTAATTCTGACTTCAATTTCTCTTTCTTCTCATTAGTTCCACTTGCCTACCCTTCATTGCTTTTGTCCACCCATGTGTAGACTGTGTGTGTGTGAATATGTAATCATCTTTATTGAGTCTTTTATTTCTGTTTATTAAACCTATCTTCAAATCTCCAGAACTGTCAATGTCATCTATCTGATTCCATGTCGATCATGTGGTAAGTTTTAGCTAAAACATGGTATTTACTTGTGTTTTTTGGAAGGACATTCAGAACAAGTAGCTTGGATCACATAAAGGAGAAATAATAAGCAATTATTCAGTTCAATTCAAACACATTTACTAGTGTCTTCTAGGTGCCAAAGGCTTTGCAAGATCTGAGAGTAGAAATAAGAGGCAGAGCCCCTTATTTCTCAAGGAACTCTCCTTAAGCTCCCCACATGCCTCTAATAGGAAACTCAGCACTCCGCTGAAAGTGTTTCCACTGTCTGGTTTGGATCCTCCATTAAATCAGCAGCCTTTCAAAGGAAAAGGAAAAGTAATCTTTTCAACCTCCAGAGCCCAGCACTGACTTACTCCCGGAGCTCAATAAAAGCTGAATGAACCAAGTGTACACAATGACCACCCTGGGTAGCCAGCATGGAGCTGAGCATTCTGTGTTTTGAATATGGCTGAACATACATGGATCCTTAGCCAAGCTAGGTACTCCGCATAATTAAATCTAGAAACTGACCCCATATTTCATTATCTTCTAATGTAATAACTGCAAAAATGAGTATCTATATGGTGCTCAAATGACTGAGTAACTCAGTCTGTTAAGAAGAAATAACTTGTCCTTTCAATAACAGGTCAGTGACTAAGATCGACAGACAAGAGCCTTAGCTGTGATATTTAATATGACCACGTAGAACAAGATGTTAATGCAGACATACCTTTATCTGCCTGGATAAGACAATGGCTAGATGAGTGCTCTTAGACATTTAATTTAATGATGAAATTTAATTTAGGCTTTCGGAATCTGTCTACAATGAGCACTCAATTTTCTTCATTGCAGTGACGCTATGAATGACAATATTGCCCTGGAATCAAGGAAATATACAAACAGGTTTCTTCACTTCTAGATAATTATAAAGTGGATTCCATTTAGAAAGTGACTGAGAGAAACCTGATAAAAACAGAGCCTAATGTGAATCATTTTGGTGTAGGTGTTCCAAGTTTTAGGGCAATATTTGAGTTTAAGGAATGTTTTCATTGGACAAGTATGGAGAGTGGGGTTTCAGGAATTATAATTTGGGCTGAGAAGGCTGTTTAGGGCAATGGCTTTTATATACGGGTGAGGAGGGAAGTTGACTGGGCACCTCAGATACCCTGGAGAGCTTTCTCAAGCTTGTTTATTATCCACAGAATGGTCTGGCAGACAGGGATTCGAAATGAAAATGAAAAAAAAGACTAAATAAAAATGTGGATCAATCCTATACATCTTGATTGGCAATGATATAAGACAAATCTGATTGGACATTTCTTGTGATTAAATTTGTCTCCACTGTTGGAAACTTACCATGACTATTTTTCTAAGCACTGACCCATATATTTATATTGGCTGTATTAATACAACATAGCAATTGCTGCTATTATTATAAAAGGAAACTGCAGTCATTTCTATACACTAAGTGGCTAATATAATTTATCTTGGCTGAAAATCTATTGTTGATAAGAGAAATTTATAGGCGCATAGATTTATCGAAGTGAGAGAGCTAGAGTAAAAGGGAGTTTGCTCTATGGAAGGGGGAAGTAAGGAGTTGGTATTTTAGAGAAAGTACTGAGCTAAGAGGATGTGGGTGAAGTCTGAGAGAAGTTATGACTAGGTGAAGGGAAAGTGGGCCCCAACTGAGCAAGAGAAAGGCTGGAAAAGAGTGGCTGTGAGACGTTGATACTAAATTCTGTTTCTGCTATTCTTCCTCCTCATAGACGTCTCCCCAAATCAAAGAATAGTGCTTTGGTGAATGAAGGAAATAGAGCTATGCCCATGTTTGGGGTAAAGCAGAACATGACCAAAAAAGGTAGCTGCAGCACATGCAAGGTTTGGCCATAAGAAATCCAAAGTTGAACTGTGAGAAGTTTGGAGCAAACAGTGGCTGGCAACCATCAGAAGCATGACTCAGGTTTCCTCAGGAGTCACAGAGCAAGTGATAGATGACCAAGTGGCTTGAGATGAGGACTTCAGTCATTTACTCTGGACTGTTAAGAGTTAAGTATTAGTCATTCAGGTTACACTAAGTTGATGACAATTTTATTCCCCTTAAAGGTGGAATATTTTCTTTAACTGCAAAAGAAACTATATTGCATAAGATGGTTTGTTTTTAATTTTTTACTTATACTTAATAACTCTCCTGATAAACAGAAGCAATAAAGCTATAACTTTTAGCCTTAAGAGGGAAGTGGAAAGTCCAAAATAAAATACCTAAACCTATTTTTCCTTTTGCTAAGTGGTTCTTTAAAAATAAATGTATATATTTCTTCTATAGCTGTATAAAATCTTCTAAGAAAGAAGTGTATATGGTAAAGAAGGGAAATAATGAGAGTCCCTTTACTAATTCAACAACTATTATTTGTTGCATGCTTATGTCTAGGATCAGTAACCATTAACAATATTTCCTCCTGCAGATATACCTATCTACAATGCTGTGTGCCATAATGAAGAATTATGAACTGCAAAATGAAAAAGTTGGTAAAATATTTTCACCATCAAACCACACTGACTAAATAATATTTGACTTAAAGTACTTTAGAAAAAGCTATCTGATTTTAAATCTTTAGTTTTTTTTTATTTTCCCCATGAAAGTATATAGACATAGTACATATGAATCACATATATGCATAGGTGCAATAATGTAGGTATGATTATCCAGAAATAGCCCTTGAATAAACTTAGATGCATAGACCAAGTTCACACTGCTAGGAAGTGCCTCAGCATTCTTGCCTAATGTATCATCATATGTTTCACGGGGCCTGTTTTGGTTTGCACATTTCTTGATGCCAATATACCATGGATTATATTAACTGATTCATGATATAGCCAGCAGAATCTTGTATCCATAAGGACACTTAGTCAATTCTCAGTTGCTTGTAGACTGCTCATGCCACTTGCTAAACAGGCTGTCTTTTTCTTATTTGTAGACATTTACTCATAGAAACCTGCCCCTTGACACTCATATACTTTACTTCTGAAAATATTTAAGAATAAACCAAACATAAGTAAGAGTGGGTCTTCTATGGATATTCAATACGTTCTAAAATCAAACATATGACTTCTGGATGAATTGCTGTTCCTGTCTACAACAGTTTTTCTGTACTATGGATACAGATTGTCAAAAATAGGCTGCTTTTATGTTGATAATTAAGTTTACTTTTGAATTGATAAGTGTAGAACAAAGTGCTTTACCCAAGTGTCCTTATTTAGAGAGAGATTAGCATGAAGCATCCAGTTCACATAAGCACTTCTAAATAGGAAGACAGAACTCTCCCAGTTAAATGAGTATTTTTAACTAACCAGAGGTAAATAGTATATGAAAATGTTCCCTTGGGGAAGAGGTTGTGTACAGGAGTGCTCACCTGCCAGACTGCCACATGAGTTCAAACCCTGGATTAAGGCTAACAACCATGTTTATCATCCTTAAAGCCATTCTTCATATTTAAGAAAAAATGAATTTTGTGACATGGATTTTTGAGTACGGGGTCTGGTATAAGCTTAAGAAGATAGAAACTATTTTGTATCTACAATTAACCTGCCTTGCACTGCATGGACAGTCCATAAAGATTACAAATGAAAGAAATTATGAATTAATGAATTCAACAATTACAATGTCTCATTTGCTAACATGTATACTTATGCTCTCTGTGTGGTACTTATTATATCCATGGAAGCAACAGGAGAGGATCAAATGCCTTATTTGGAAAATAAAGCACATAAAACAAAACAAGTGAACTATTTTTAATAGTTATTTGAGAAAACCTATAATGAACGGTATTGATAATGGCTCTAGAAATGCAAATTAGCCGAATATGATGGTACCCCAAATAGTTTAACCTTTATTTATTTATTAATAAACATCACAGAGGGTAAAGAGAGAGACATTCAATGGAAACAAAGGAGCAAACAGAAATATTTAGTATTTTTAGTCTCATTAAAAAAGTTACTAACAGTTGCATTTGCTCTATGTGATATAAAAAGAATTTATATATAGATAAAAATTTCTCTCAGGAGAAAGAAGTAAACAGACATTTAATGCCAGGAGACCCCCTAAATTTGGGGCTGTTGTGAAGGCCTTGCCTCATACAGCCTTCAAACACAGGCCTCCAGACATATATGCACTACTGTGGTCTATCCAGGCTGGATAAGGATAACTTACCTGACACAAGAACAATAAGAATCTTAGCACTGGGAGCTAAGAGACTGTGGAAGAACTTCAGGGTAGCTGGGATGTCTTTTACATAATACAGCATCTAGAAATTAAGGAAAAGAGATATGAGACACTTTTCTATGTCAACATCTTTGTGTGCTTGGACCAGATACTCACTAGAAAGTTTAATTTTCAAGTGGAGTGGATTTTACTGAACAAAACACTTAAGAAACCTAATAAGTAAAAATGTTATATGGAGAGATAGAATAAACATTTTTTGGGGGGAAGGGAAACTTTTATTTGCTCAACTAGAGCCAAATGGTTTTAAATTTACACTTTCTGGCTTTAATAACACTGACATCTACAGCTGGAGACACTCAGTTTCTGCTCCATGTGGAGGCGATGCTTCTAGGCTTACTCCATATTTGGTGCCTTTTAATTTTCTGGGAGAAAATGGTGCTGGCACCATAAACACAGACTCCATTTCACGGAACGTATCTTTAAAATTAAGCCCTTTGTACCTTTGTACTAGCTCCACCATGTGCTTACAGATGCTTTTTTTAAATCATGGAAAATGTGAAAAGCTCTGATGTCAACAGATTCTCTAGGAAAGGATTGGATAATGCATGAAGTTACATGCTTGGTCACAAGATGCTAAGAGCCAGTCTACCCATCCTATATAATAAAAGCCTAATATGCTAAGTGTCCAGTCATCCGGTCAACCAATCAAAGCGTGATATGCTAATGATATGCTAAGGCTGCTCAACCGCTCCCTATGATGTGCACTGATCACCAGGGGACAGACAGTTGACCAGTTGACCAGTCACTATGATGTGCACTGACCACCAGGGGGAAGACTCTCCAACTGGTAGGTTAGCTTGCTGCTGGGGTCCAGCGATCGGGACTGAGTGAGATGAACCGAACATGCCCTGGAGCCCTCCCATGTCCCTCCCCTGGCCAACCTCCTGTGTCCCTCCCCAGCCCCAATCATGAACTGGTGGGGCCCCTCGGCCTGGCCTGCACCCTCCCACAATCCAGGACCCCTCAGGGGATGTTGCAGCTTTGTTTTTAAATTTGGAGGGCGAAGAAAGATGAGTTTCCATCTGATGGTTTCTCTTTTCCCTACACTATGAAGTGAGCCATTGGTTGGGAATGAGTGGTGGGATAAGGGCTACAGGAGGTGTAGGGGAGAGAGGGAGGTATAAAATAGTTGTATGAGGAGGTGGGAAGCAAGTCCAATAGAGAAGTATCATAGGCTCGCTGGGCACTCCCTTACAGGTAAAGAATCTTGTCAGCTAAGAGAGCAGAGGTGTAGGATTGCCTGAATATGCCAATTTTAAGTTTATTCTTTTGGAGTAACTGTTCTTGTGGACTATAGAAAATAAGAAACATGTTGTTATTAATTGTGGTATTTCTAAAATATACACATCTTCTAAGGGATGCCTATACATCCATATGGTATCCAGAAAGAGCAGTGGAACTATGTCTCCATACTATCTACTGAATAGTTACCCCCTTTACTGCCAGTGCTGGACCATGGAAATAAATTCCTCCTGAATGACTAACTGGTATTAATAACACTTCAGTAACCTGAGGAATCATCTAACCTGCCCCTTTTGTCACAAGCACACTACCCAGGTCATCAACAAGGCAAAAGCAGGAGGATTCAGAAAAACTTTGAGATGTTGGTTCATCTAGATCAGCGGTTCTCAACCTGTGGGTCGCGATCCCTTTGGGGATTTCACAGGGGTCGCCTAAGACCATTGGAAAACACATATATAAATAGATATTGTTTTTGTGTTTAATCACTATGCTTTAATTTTAATGTTCAATTTGTAACAATGAAATTGGGGGTCACCACAACATGAGGAACTGTATTAAAGGGTCGCAGCATTAGGAAGGTTGAGAAACACTGATCTAGATCATTAGAGTTACTGGAGAACTGTATTAGGATATGTTACACTCTGCAGTCCTCAAATCTACTGTCCTCAGATCTATCTATGAACTTTCAGTCCTATGAAAATTAATTAAGCCAATAGTGAAAAAAAATCAGTAACTCTGGAAGTATTTTGAGTAGAGAAAACTGGCATTTTTAATGTTACAGAGAATTTCTTAGTATTATCAACATCTTTATCCTCAATTTGAATATGCTCCCTTATAAAACCAGATTCTCATTTTTCTTTTTAAAGTTAGAATAGCAGGCACTCTTCATATGTAGTTTTCTGAAAAATCTCCTTTCTGAGCATTTGTAACAATAAGTACTTCTTACCTGAATCATATGAATAAAGTCCCACTTCTGAAGTTCTTTATTCTCCATCACTCTATTTTCATATTCAGATGATGTCTCCTTATGCCAAGCAAACTTTATGTTCTCAAGGTTTGATGACTTGGCTACAAACTCTAAAATAAAGGAAAGAGGTGGCACACAATCTATTTTAATTGCAAATGTGGAACCTATTTCCTCTTAGAATTTTAATGCAATCAATGTTATACACATAACAAATATAAAACACATTTTTCCTTTTTATATAGCTCTGGAAGACCAGAGAGTTCATCTTAATTTTTTTCTAGTATTAAGTGAATTTAGAGATGAAAGAAAAAGTCAATAAGAAATAATTAGGAGGACCCTGATCAAACATAGGTTATATTATCTCAGTATAATAGGGAATTAACTCATGGGTTTTATCAATGGAAAACTGATATAAAACAGGTGATATGATTCTGTAACCCAGGAGTCAGCAAATATGGTGCTATGGACCACATCTGGCCCAGTACCTATTTTTAAATGAACTGCAAGCTAAAAACATAGGATTCTACTTCCTGACTCCATGCCTCTGTCTTTTATATCTCATGCCATTACACTTTTAAATGACTGAGCAAAATCAAAATAAGAATACTATTTTGTTATATGTGAAAATAATAACAAATTCATAGTTTAGTGTTTATAAATAAAGTTTTATTGAAATATATCCACAGGCATTCGTTTATATATTCTCTATGACAGCCTTTGTGCTACTATGGTAGAGTTGATTAGTTGTGACAGATGCTGTGGCTTTCTAAATTTAAAATTTTACAACTTCTTGGCCTTTTTCAGAAAAAGTTTGCAGATTTCTACTATAACCTATTAATCCTAAGATCTTTAAGGACAGCGATTCTGATTAAATACTTCTGAATGAATTGATAACTCTGTCTCTAAGAATAAACATCAAAAATAGTAATTGGTGGCCAGTGAATGGATGGAGAGTCTGTAAGTAAAAACGTTTAATTATTCATGTTCGTATTCTGAGGTGTTTATCCCTGCCAAGGAAACAAATTGATTAAGTTCCTCTCCCATTAAGCTTACTAAGAACATACTACAATAACAATCTGTATGATTAAAGGGACACATTTGGGATGATAAGCCTTTCAGGATAGAATTTGACATAAAGCACCATGGGTTACAGGTACCTTTGTACTTGGCAATTTGTTCAGCACTTGGTTCAACAACTTCATTGTTAATATGAACTCCTGGGAATTGATCCTGCACTTTGGAGAGAATTTGAAGATCAATTTCACCTAGAATACAAGCATAGGAAACAGATCACATTGGTCCAAAAAGAAACGATTAAGAATAATTTCAGCTAGTTTATTTGTCTTAGTTTTACTAGGAAAGTCCAGCATGTATAAAGAATAATGCTCAATTGTTTCCCTGCCACATTGTCTATGATGCAGAACAGCTAGGTTGTAAGCAGGAATAATAATGTAATTTGAGGAAGGCTATGATTGTTATTCATTCATTCATATAACATTTATTCAATATTTATTATTGTATTACATTTAATCTAAGATGCCACTGATCATGTAATCAATCCTTCCTTTTGTATTAGTGTCAGAAAAAAAGTTAATTATAATTGTAAGATATCATTAACTGGAAAATGTATCCCCATTATGTTAAAATATAAAAGAATATGTATCTTAGAATAAATTAGGCTAGGCAAGAAGCATACCAAAATATATGTTATATGCAAAATATGTCAGGTATAAAAAAGGATACAAAAATATGTCAGACCGTGGTCTAGTGGAAGAGAACCCTGACTGGGCTGAGGTGGGAAGAGGAAAGGAGACAGTGAGGGAGAGGATAAAAAGAGGTTAAAGAGATAAAAGCTTCATGGAGAAAGACCACTCCTGAGCTCTGTGTTATAGGGTAAGTAGAAGTTAGCCCAGAGATTTCTGGGGAAATGAGGAAGGAACTCTGCTAGAGAGGACAGAAAGATGGAGGTATAATGTAGGAAGAAGAGCATTATACATGGGACTCTGGCAGTTCGGTGGGACTCTGGCAGTTCAGAGTTCTGAAATATTGGTCAAGGAAAGAGATTGATATGAGAGGTAAATGGATAGGAGGTTTTAGTGGATTTTATATTTAGTCATTAATTTATGCATCAACTATTAATTGATTGTTGACTATGTGCCAGACACTGTACTAGGCTCTAGCAAATGATGACAAGAGAAATAGATACCTGCCTTGATGAAAATTTAGCCTGTAAGTGATTGCATGAGAGAGATGGTGGTAAGTTGAATGGATTTGAGTCCAAAACCTGTTTTCTTCACTTACTAGGTATATATGACCTTTGGCAATTTGCTTTACCTCTTAAGCTGTAATTTCCTCAACACAAAAATAGCAATGATGGCACCTAATTTATTGGTTGTGAGTGTTACATGAGGCAAGGCATATAAAGCACAGTGCAAGATAGACTCGGCACCCAATAAATGTCAGCTGTTCGTTTTTATTATTATTGAGTTCCTCTCTTTAAAAAGATGTCTTCTCTCCCTATTACTGATGCTCCCAATTTAAGTTTTGCACTTTTACTCTCTTAGGTTATGATGTTGACACCTTCACTAAAACAGACCTATGTGCAAGGCTAGCATATTAAAATGATTTTAGTCTTTAATGTTTTGGCATAAATTACATTGACAGAACTTTTTCATGGTTAGATATGGCAGGCGACAAAACCATAAATCATGGGACTTGGAGGTCTAAGAGGAAGGGGATGAGAAAGGTAAATCAGGAACACAATATGCTAATGGGAGACAGGAAGGGAGTATAATGGTGTAATGAGAGCCCCAAGTACTGGTATTAGGAGATGGTGAGGAACTGGGGGGAGGAGTGGGATGGAGGCTGAAATGGAGAATGAAGAGCCTGGGTGACAGTTTTCTCCAAAGCTGGCCCTACCAACACGACACCTTTCATTTCTTCCTTTTCAATTCCAGCTGCCATTTATTGCTCACCTACTATTTATCAAACATGGTGCTGGGGCTTTAATTGGAACAACTCACTTAATCCTAATCACTATACTGTCACAAACTCCACAAGATTATTCCCAACCAGAAAAGGTGACTTGAATAATTTGACACTCAGGGGGTATTAGTATGCCTAAAGTTTAGCACATTTGGCTAACTCTAAAGTATTTGCTCTAACTCTTTAACAATGAGACCAAGTATTAAAAGGGCACAGGAAGTTTTTATTCTTCTCCACAGTAACTATTTTTGAAGGGTAAATAAAATACCTAAGGCAAAGGCTGCTAAGAACAGGTGTAGGCTGATGAGAAACAGAGAGATGCCCACTTGCCCCAAAAGACCAAAGCCCAAAGTTCTGTTCTTGCCTCTACCAGCCTAGCCATATATTTTTAAATTTAAAAAATTCTCAATTATGAGGACCCCAATCACCACATTTTGAAACCCACATAATGGAAATGCAATCATTTTCCTTCTGCTCAACAAGCTCATCACTTCCCTGCTTATAACCTTCTGATGATTAAACAACTGAGTAAAGCCCAGACTTCTTAACTAGCATAGACCGCCCTGCCTGGCCCCTTTTTCTCAGGTCTCACAACTTCATATTTTGAAACTTTTGGCTCCAGAAACCCAGATTCTTACATTTCCACCCTTCTCATCCCTTCTTTGCCCTACATACACCATGCTGTTCCACACTCTATTCCCCATGCGTTCTCCTCTTACAGGATTATTCTCCCCTTACCTCCTCACTTCACCTGACTAGCTCCTATGCATCTTGAACACTTCCACAAAAGACTGATGCCGTGGTAGTCTTTCCCATAGAGCCTGGAAGTATCATCAGAATCCTCAGACAGAGACTACCCATCAATTGACTGGTGATGGCAACACAGATAAAATGTTCTTGAGTTCCTTGATCTTATTTTATTCACTAGCAGAGACTTGATTCCAGTGAGTTTCTTAAACAGAATCAAAGACTCTAAAATGGTAGATTGAACAACATCAATCACTGAGAAGTATATGAGGGGCTATCAGACCCTATAGAACCATGAACCAGCAGTAAAGAGATTTAAAAAAAAAAAAAGAAAAAAGGAAGGAAGGAGACCATTTGTTCTTTCTCAACTGAATCCTTCTGAGCAGGAGCTATAACATTATGAATGTGCTCCACTATCAGACATTAAGCACCCTATAAATGCTTTTAGAGAGCACACAAGCTAAACTAATGTGCCAAAAGAATGGGGGAGAGTAAACTAGAAATGAATCAATCAAATAATTCAGAAATTCTGAGCAAAATCAGGGGTAAACAAAAGAAATGTGGAAGCCAACAGCCTGCTTTTTTACTGTGCATTGCAAAACCTTCTGGGAATCTTAAATTTGAGATCTAGAAAACAGCATTTAAGGGAAATAAGGCAATACATGTTTATTTTTTAGTCAGTCTCATTTCACAGATGATTTCATTAGACATTGCTTAATCAGAATTCTGACAACTGTAGACTACTTATTTTGGAAATCCTAAGCCTTTAGATATATAATGTCAACAGTTGTCTGTTTTCCCCAAAGCTTTGGAACAAAATATACGAAGTTTCTTGTGACAAATGGAAAAATTATAATGATTAAGCAACTCTATTCAAACACACCATCCTTCTTTTTTTCCTCTCCCCTTTTCCCCTCCTTTCCCTTCCTTTTTAAAAAATATATTTTATTGATTTTTGTATAGAGAGGAAGGGAGAGGGATAGAAAGTTAGAAACATTGATGAGAGAGAAACATAGATCAGCTGCCTCCTGCACACCCCCTACTGGGGATGTGCCCACAACCAAGGTACATGTCCTTGACCAGAATCGAACCTGGGACCTTTCAGTCCACAGGCTGACGCTCTAGCCACTGAGCCAAACCGTGACCTCCTTCATTCAGCTTCTCCCTTCTCCCCTTTATGACTACTTAAACAAATTAATAATTTTGGTGTCTGCACTTTATGATGATGAACTGATTTTCTCAGTTGATCAATATGTGAAACTTGAGTAAAATTAGAAAGATCCAGACATGCATCAACACCAATCACAAATTTTCTATTAGGCTGGATTGTGAACTTTTTTCTGTTTTGTTCACTCCTATGTTATTTCTATCAAACAGAATATGCTGACATTTTTATTTGGGAAGTTAAATGAAAACTACATTTTCAAACTCTCCTTTCTTGCAAATCTCTTTCCTTTGTAACACCCTTTCCTCAAATCAGCCACAACTATAGCATGACTTCTCATGTCTCCTTCCTGGGCTATGATGAGTGTTTTGCTTAATTTTTCAGACAGATATTTTTGTGGTTATAATAGTTTGCTTTCATATGAGTCATATTTAAATGTATCATGTCTATATTTAAAGAGGGACAATAAAATTGACATCCTTGATATAGAATTTATTAAAAAGTTCAAAAACAAGAAAGGGGAGGAATGGGAATTTCATCTTTTCGACAACTTTCTTCACTTCCTGAATTTCAAGTATATATTTAATGAGTTAGTAGAGACATGTAGTTTTTGCTTGGAATCCAAAGTCACCTGATTAAAAATGGAAAAACTTAAAATATTAAAGGCTAAAAAGAGAAAAACTAAATATAGTATTCACTGGAATTACTTTATACAAAATTTCTTATATCTCTACTCCTTAAATTACACATCTATAAATTAGGAATAATAAGGTCTATGCTATAGGATCATTGCAAAGGTTAGAGATATTATATGGAGGTAATTTACCATGGTTCATGATATGTAGCAATTACTCAATAAGTTGAAGTTATTATACATTAATTAAATATTTTTGAGCACCTACTGAATGCCAGATGCTAATTACTGGAGATTTAGCAACAAATAAAACAGATGTAAACATCCAACCTTTATGGATGGTGTTAAGTCCCATGGAGAAAACCAAGGCAAAAAACAGTGAGAGGAAGCCGTGAAGGGGGTCTCTGTAATTTCCCACTGGGTGGTCAAGTACACTTCATGGAAAAGGTAACATTTAAGAGAAATCTGAAAGAGCCTGGGAATGAGGGAAATGAAGAGTTCCCTTCCTAAGCGGGAAGCTCCATACTAAAATGACAAGTTGGAAAAGCACTCGTCATACATTCATGATGGCTTGTCCTTCTAACTGAGCCTATGCTACATTGAGTCACAAATCCCAACCTGAGAACCCTGTGGCTTCTCCAAATGAGAAAATCTACAGGTCAAGAAAACAGGGGATTAAAGTCTGTCAAGATATCTCCCGCCATTTGATTTCCATCTATTCCTGCTTCATTTCT